TAAATTGTGATTCACTTTATCCTGTAAAACTGATGTTACAACGCTCCTAGTACCTTCGACAGGTAATGGATCGATTTTTTAAGGAAACTGATGCTAAACACGACTTGGATCTTTCATTGTTTCTTCTCTATAATCAAATTTATGAAATCCTATTTTTGTTATTTATTTATTTTATATAAATAAATTTTAGTTTCGTAACAATCTTTGGCTAAATTTGACTATTGATTTTGAACCAAATTTAGTCATTCGATTAAATACTCACTTAGTAAGCATTAAATTCAAGGATAATAATGTAAAAATTGACTTGTTCAGATGGCAAAATTTAGTTCATAAGCTTAATACATTGGGTTCATCAATAGTGGGAACGCAAAGAACATGTTGATGAAGTTTCTGCAACAAATTTGAGTCGATTATATTATTTGTTTCATCACATTTAAATATGCAAATCTGGATAGACAAATTTTCTAGCTAATTTTTATGTTATTACTCTTATGTTTACTAAATAGATATTTAACTTCAAATTTGAAACAAAATCAATAGTTAAAATCGTTTATGGTCAAATTGAAAGTCAAAGATAAAATTGGTAAATGTTAATAGTCAGACTATTTATGGTTCAATTGAAAGATAAAAATTTGTAAATATATATATCAATAATCAATAAACCATTCTTGAAATTTATCACAGTTGTTTAATCAAGAGCCTATAGAGTATTTGAATAATGGTTATTCTTGTATATGATAGTTTTACATAACACGAATGATATGATAAATATGCTATATGTAATCTTTTTTAATTAGTGCAGCAAATACATAGTGTACAAGTACACATTAATCAAATATAGTGAATTCTGATTTGACATCCATATAAAAGGTCCCTGATTTTTTCATATCGAGTTAATTTTTCATATTATTGAAGTTGGCCGGTAAAAGATAAGTCAAGAAAATCATTTTCCCTCACTTGAAAAAAAAAAAAAGTAAAAACTCCATTACGTACGATTTTCTTTTTCCATTTTAAAAAATATAAAGAGAATCAATTAACTACATGATCAAAATCCAAATCACAATTATAAACCATAAAATATCATTTATACGTTGTTGACAATCTTTATCTCATGAGTGACAATCTTTAAATCATGATATTTTAAAAATGCATAATATTGTTTTATTTTATTTTTAATTATATTTGCTGAGTCGCCGGCTTGGTGCAACAGCATTTCCCCGGTTCGAGTTTGCTCTTACCACCTTTAACAAACCCTTCTTTCTTGCAAGAGGCTTGACATTCAGTAGAGGTCGTAAACTTGCCTTTGCATGTCATGGCAATGTTCTGCTCATCAACTCCTTGGACCATTTTTGGACTCAATTCTGCTAATAGGAGATAGATCAAATAAAAACAGGTACATACGTACAATGTGCATCATATTAAATTATTAAAAAATTAATAAAGATGAACTTACATATAGATTCCGATAAATTTCAGGCTACCTTGTTCGAGCCATCAGGCTTATGACATATTGAGCTGAATTTTTTATGGGTTTAAAATTTCTTAGGCCTAACCTTGAACTTTTTCAGGCTTATTGAGTCAACCAATCTATTTCGGATTAAGATTGACATCTCTAAGTAAAAGTCTATATTCAAGAATGTGTGCATCATATGATATGATATGAATAACGTGTATAATTTTAGAGTTGCATGTTTTTAAGTGCACTTTTATTACATAATGCAGTTTGTAGTTTAGTGCACTACTTTTTAACTAGTGCAACACCTTTCTCAACCTACTGAACTACAAAGAGTTAATACCGTACTGCCTCCACTAAAGCTTGAACCTACAAGCTCTCATATAGGAGAGCAACTTAGTATCACTAGACTACAAAGTTCTTGGCCTGCAGCACCTATATATATAGGTATCTCGTTTTAACAAATTAAAATCATAAATAAAACATTTTTCAAACGAAATTACCAGGAGAAGACAAGAGCACCAATAACAGGATCATAGCGCCATATAACTTCAATTTTTGTTCCATTAATAGGAAGCTTGAAATTTAAGTTTTATTTTTTTTTTATTTTTTTTTATTTTTTTTTTATTTTTTTAGTTTTATGAAAGCATGTAATTAACTCTATATATAGGGTATGTTTATTGTATTTAGTAGTTAGATTCTCTTGGTTAGTTAGAGTCTATTGGCTTAGTCTTTATTTGTTTCCTGTTTCAGTGGTTAGTTAGAGTCTATTGTTGGTTTGCTTATGAATACGTTTGAACTTGAAACACAACATCCTAGCTAAGCGTGTAACAAACATGCTTATGATGCTGTCACGGAAAAAATAGTTATTAGATGTAATTAAATTATTATTATTATTATTTTAAAAAAAAAATTATTATTATTATTATTTTTATAATGTTAGTCTGTTGCAATATATTTCCCAAATAATTCTGTAAGTTATGTTTATGTGCATATATATTTAATACATGCATGTAATGTTCCCTACTAGAGTTAATCCAGTTATTGTTTGGATGCATTTTAGCATTTTTTTTTCTTTAATACAAAATAGACAGAATAAAAAGTAACCGGTCATGCCTATAGGGCTACCGTAAAAGGCTTGTGATTTTTTCATATTGAGTTAATTTTTATGTTGAAGTTGGCTGATAAAAGATAGGTCGAGAAAACTATTTTTCCTCACTTGAAAAAATAGTAAAAATCCCATTACGTACAATTTTCTTTTTCCATTTTCAAAAATATGGAAAGAATCAATTACAAACTTTATAATCATTAAACTAAGAAACATTATTTATTTATTTATGTTCGAGTCTCATGAGAAACATATAATACATTACGGACAATCATTAAATCATGATATTTTTAAAATGCATAATATTATTTTATTTTATTTTTAATTATATTTGGAAGGGCCTGCCTTGATGCAGCAGCATTTCCCCGGTTGGCGTTTGCTATGAGCCGGTTTACCAGAGCCCTCTTTGTTGCAAATGGATTGGCAATAACTAAGGCTCGTAAAGCTGCCATAGCATTTCATGCTAGCGCTAATCTTGGCTTCTCCGACCACTTTTGGACTCAACTCTGCTAATAGGAGACAAATCAAATAAAAACGCGCACTTAGATACATACGTGCAAAGTGTACCATATTAAACTATCAAAAGAAAGTGTTACCAGTAAATGATAGGATTAGCAAGATGAATATAGTGATGAATAACTTTGATGAATGTGCCATTAGTCAAAAGTGTATGTTAGTGTACATTAAAGATATCAAAGAATATGTAGCTCAATATATATAGAGTATGTTTATTGGTTTGTTTATGTATACGTATGTTATTTGTCTTACTTTTACAATTAGTATACCTTAAATATGTCCCCAGTCATACATGTAACAAGCATGATACCGAAATTGTTGGTAGTTAGTTATATATTTTGGTTTCGGCAAACACTTGTGTGAGACTGTCTCACGGGTCTTCATTTGTGAGACGCGTCGGGTCAAGATGAAAATGTAATACTAATCAGAAAAAAAAAAAAAAATTAAAGTGTTTATTATTTATATGGAAAACTGTACTACTTTTGAAGAAAAAATGTAATTAATACTTTTACGTTTTGATTTAAATCTAAGTATTAATTATGATTCTTAGGGATTAATTTCAATCTTAATTCTTATAATTAATCTCCGAATTAAGTTGGCGGTTATTAATGTTAAAAATCTTAATTTATTTAAGATGTAAATGCCATTGTTAATACTATTTATTCTTTCTTCTCCTATAAATAGCCTTAGCGCTGGGCAAATTGTTAGCTACTTGATTTTGAACACTCAAAAACTTTGTTGTTTTACTCTTGCTTTCTCAAAATCTTTTCTTAGGAAAAACTTTGCCAACACTTCCGATAAAATATATAAGTGTCCGCCTGTTGTTCAAGTTCGATTCGCGATTTTAATAAAATCTAAATATCGGGTTTCGTTTCTAAATTGTAATTGGAATATTTCGGTTTGGTTGTTGTCTATATGGTTTGAATCAAATCGTGGTCATAATTTGTTGAAGAAGAAAAATAAATGAAATATTTATTTTAAGGGTAAATGTGACCATTTAACATTTCATGTGGAAAAACAGTCACTTGAATAATTTAGAGGAAAAAGTGCTACAAGTATATAACTCAGAGGGAAAACGTGCTATTTTTCATATAAGTTATTACTAAGGGTGAGCTTTAGTTCTGTTTGGAAATTTTATTTTAAACGACTTTGGTGACCTAATATCGTCCCAAATTGTTAGCTATCGGGTATCGTTTGGTGACACGTGCTATTTTCCAAAAATTGTATATCCAAACCAAATAATAATTTGGATATATATTCATTCCGCGTAAAATTATTTTGAGTGTATTTCTGATTTGTTAGGACTCCGGATATTTTTATGAGTACTACAAACTATATTAGAATGCAGTATCTGTTAATAGCTACTTTCTCAACCTACTGAATTAAGCACAAATAGTCAATACCGCCTCTACGGGAGTTCAAACTCATGATCTCCAATTCGGAGAAATATTTCATGTCACTAGACCACAAGATCATTCGCTAGGACTCGGGACATATATATATATATATATATATATATATATATATATATATATATATATATATATATATATATATATATATATACCCAAAAACATTTTTATTTTTATGGACATTTTATTAATTATTTGAGTATTAATAGTTTTATATAATCCTGAACCATTTCAATAAGTTTAGATCCTGATTATAATCAATATTTTAAAAACTCATGATTGCATTAATATACATCACAAATATTGCTGAGACATAATTTTAACAATAGCTAGCTAGTGTTAACACAACGAAATAGCAATACGTGAATCCTAAATACTAGGTTTTATCACTAACATGTTTTCTGACTCACCTAAAATGTAGGATAAATAACAAAACATATTCATTACCAACTAACCCCTATATATAGAGCATGTTCAATTCGTTTACAAATACTCCTGTTAAAATAAAATAAATTATTATTATTATTATTATTATTATTATTATTATTATTATTATTATTATTATTATTATTGTTATTGATGGCAATGACAAGTTCATTAAAGACTACAGCAACAATATGCCTCCTGTTTGCGCTCTTTTTTTCTACTGGTAATTTCTTTTACAAAAAATCTTTATTAATAGTGAGATGCAAATCTCTTTAAGAACAGGTCTGAATGCCTAATTCTATCATTTTATAGCACTACTGGAAATTATGGAATTTTCGATCACCTGAAAGTGATCTGACTTGTTTCGACCACTTTTGGTATCTGAAAAAACCTTTGTTGCTATTTCCGACCATTTTTGCTTTCCATCTGATTTAAGATCGATTTCAGATGATTTGAAATTCCATAATTTCCAGCAGTGTAGGCCCTGGACATAACAATAAAAATATGTCATACATGAAGTTAACATCATAACTATGTGAGGTTGTGAGGATGTATGGTTGTTAATTTTTTAATTTTTTGTTTAAACATGGGTAGAGATGGGTCCAATGATGCTTGGAGTGGTTGGAGAACCAAAATCTCATCCTACTGACCAGGTTTGCGTTAAAAAGAGTAATTGCAACAAAGTGTGCCGTCCACATGCTGGTGGTGGTAAATGCATTTTATTATATTGCGTCTGCTTTGATGCAAAGCCGTAATACAATGGTGGTGGTGATTGTGGCAAGTTTGGGGTTTTACAATCATGCTTCAAATGGCTCCTCTAAAGTGATTGAAAATAAAACTCAGGAGATTAGTATTTGTTGTTCTATTACAATTTTTTTTTTTCACTTTTTAACATTATATTATAGCCGGCCTTATGAATTTTAAGTAAAAGTATCGTGATTGAGTACAACATATATGTGAAGTGCATTCAGTTGGTTCCTAGTGATAAATTGTGGGTAAAGATACTGAATTGAATTTGGATAGTCGCCAATGTGTGAGTTACACTCAATATTACGATTTTTGTGGACATTAAATACTGGTTCTCTCACCTATACTAAGGACTTGTTTTATAGATGAGAGATTTTAATTTGATGTTTTGTCCTTGGTCAAAACACCAAGAAAAATTAAAACACGGCATATTGCAGCATTTTACTTTGACATTTTAAAAAAAAATTATCTTTCTCCCTTTAAAGAAATTAAATAAAAAAATGAAACCTTAAAACTTGCACTAAATACCATATTACCATGAGCCATTTTGGCCCCTTAAAAAGGTGTAGCAGCATTAGCAGCTGAGTTGTTTTCCAGGATGGAGTGTTTGTTAAGAAATATCCGTGGGATTTTTGTCAGCCCAGCATCAAAGAGGCTCTTTACACTTGCTTTTGAATCTTCAAAAGCTTGAACTTCTTCACTTCTCCAATCCTACTTTTTCCACCGATAAATGAAAATCGACCTGAAAAAAATGGTAAAAATAAAGGAGAACTGCACAAACCACTTCTATAATTTGTTTTTTCAAATTTGTGAACACAATTCATTATATGCTAATCACTAACACAATTTGCTAATCGTTGATTATCAAACAAGGTCAATGAGCCCCTGAGTCGCCGTGATTTACAATCTGTAGCGTACTTATACTTCATAATGCATTTCATCCTCTCGCGGATGTGCGTCTCGGCTTCATAGGGGACAGATCAAATAAAAGCGTGAGCTCAAGTACAGACAAGAAAATGTATACGAGACATAACTACTAAATGCATCCAATAATATGTGAAAGTAACTTAAGAACATGTGTATCTTATGATATGTAAAGTGTAACCGAGGAACAGTAATTTTAGAATTTTTATGCGTTATATTTTTTTTTTCTTTTTGGGTGACAAGGGACAAAGCTTATTTAAGAGCTTATAGTTTATTTTAAGCTACTAATAAGCTATAAGCTTTGTTTGGTAATGTTCCAAACACTACCTTAGGTGAGTTTCAAAAATAAGTTAGGAGCTCCCTAACTTTTTTTTTTTTTTTTTCATCTTTAATTTATCCTTATTATTTTAAATAAATGACATCCTTAATTTACCTCTCCTTTTGGACTTTTTTTCTTTGTATATTTTTATTCATCCTCTTTTGCAACTTTTCACCGTCCAACAACTCAGTTCCAACCATATTGAGATGAAGGAGATTCACAACAATATTGCTATTTCATGGATGCTAGATTATGATTATACAAATAGTTTCATTTTAAAATGTTAAATTTTAATATGTAAACACATTTATTTAAATTTAAAACTATTTAAATTTTATGAAGATGTCATTTTTAGTCTTTTTACATTTATCAACTTATCAAAAAGCTAATTTAGCAACAGCTAAATTTGCCAAACATAGCCACTATTTGAGAATGTGCTCTAAGAAAATTCCGCCTTGTATTCCTAACCGACAAAGGACCACAAGAATGTACTTTTTCTGTTAGTACTTGATGCTGCCGCTATATATACGTATCTTGTTTTAACAAATTAAAATCATAAATAAAGAATTTTTCAAAAGAAATTACCATTAAAAGATAAGAGCACTAACAACATCACCATAATGACGAATAACTTCAATGATCATTTTGTTATGAAATATTACTACGAAAATAATATTTCAAGCGAAAGACTCTCTTTAAAATTTTATTAGTTATCTAAAATTTACATCCTTTGCACGCAAGAGAGCCTCTATGTTATACAATTTAACATGTTTTTAAAAAGCTCTTGTATATATAGTGGTGCAAATCACATTGTGTTGGTCCCGATAGATTGAGTGGTGAGTCTAGAGGGGGGGGGGGGGGGGGGGGGGGGTGAATAGACTCTCGTTTTTCTTTAGATTCTTTAAAAGAAAAACCCTGACAACACTTTTGAGTAAGATAAGCACAGCGGAAAGGTTATTAAGAGAGGGTTGCACGAGTTTGATAAAAAGATAAGATGAGTGATGAAAGAGATGATATGCAAGCAGTAAACTAAAGCAGTAAGTAAAGAGAAGAGCGAGACGAGATTTTATAGTGGTTCGGCCAAACTTTGCCTACTTCCACTCTTCTTCCACAACTGCTGGAAGGATTGCACTATCACTCTTTAGTACAATTACACAAAGACTTCCTTGATCACTAAGCCAGACAGCCTTTGAAGGTTTTTCAACTCCGAGAGTTTACTCCGCCTCTATCAACTTCTTGTTCTAAGTTGAGGTTGGTGAGAAAGTATTTCTTGATTCCTCCAACTGTGAAGTCTTGTTGGTGTGGGATGATTGCTTCAAGAGTGCAAGACTTCTTACAAGATGTAGGGCAGTGATGGTTGATCTACTTCAAATGCCTTAACACCTTAAATAGCTGGTTCGCAAAGAGCTTTGAGATTTGTTCACTTTTTAAGAGCTTTTTGCAAGAGAGTGAGTAGAGTGATAAAATGAACCAGCACCTTCTTAGTTGATGAAGGTTGGTTTATATAGGTGATGAAAATTCATCCGTTGGAGGGAGATGAATTTTTAAACCTTTTATCTGTTGGACAAGGACCATGGAGCCTCATGCATTTAATGCTCCATTAATGGGTTTGTACTATGTAGCCGTTGAAGGTATGGAGGATCTGATGACTTTTGTCTTTTAGCTCCAGAGATAGTACGACTTCATTAAATGCTCTTTGGATAGCGTGTCCCATGAGTTGAGGTCCTTATTGTCCTAGGATGTTGTCAAATCAGACAGGTAGAACATTCTTCTAGTTGATGAGAAGAAGAATACTTGTTGAGATAGTCTTGAAAAGAACTGTCTTTTTAATGACAACTCCTTCTTTCGTTGCTGTGGAGTCTTCTTTCGCCTTGATCAGCCTATCTTCTATTCATAACTCTTTTCGTGTGTTTGTTCTAGCTTAACACGAATTACATATGAGTTATGGCAACTTTCGTCTAGAACGAAAGTAGCGATACAATACAAATGAAGGAGTTAGGGGTCTACTTTCTACATTACATTGGTATCATCAAAATCCTAATACAAGGTTCCTAACACATTGTTTTTTCAATGTAGGACAAATGCTACTAAGAATATATCAGTCACACATTACTCAATTTGAGCGTACAATATATTAATTTTTATCTCACTACAAAGAATCTGAATCCACTTTGACCTGACCCAAATGGATATCTACATATATTTGTACCACAAAATAGTTACTTACAATGCAATTTTTATACTACTTTTTCAACACGTTCCATTACTCGGAAGCATGAAATTTAAGATTTTTATTATTTATTTTTCTAAAATAAAGTATGCAAATCTATATATATGGGGTATGTTTGTTGGTTTGCTTATTAATACGTTTGAAATTGGAACACAACATCCCGCCTAAGCATGTAACAAACATGCTTATATATGATGCTTTCACGGAAAAAAATAGTTACATGTAAATTAGTTTTTTTTTTTTTTTGAAAACATGTAAATTAGTTTTGTTATGTTATTTTGTTGTAATAACATAACACTCATTCTCTTTGTCTTTGCTTTTCGACTACTCAAACTTCTACACAGTTGTCGCCTCCGTGAAGCAAGCGGATCAGAGACTGCATCCGATCGTCTTCCCATACTGCTATCTCCACCGTAGACAGCGTCAGCCTTCATTGTCTTCTCTGCCTTCACCGTTTTTTCTTTTATTCTCTGCCTTCGCACGGTTATTTCCCTTTACTTGTTTTAGTTTAATTTTGTTTGTCGTTTCTATGTTTTCCTCTAGTTGTTTAACGAGTTACTTCCTCTCATTTACTTGGCGAGTTTTTTTTCATAAAGCGTGAAACAATATAACTGGTCATGGCATATGTGAATCTCATCTTGGGTGACAAACATGACAATGAAAAAGAGACTCCTCTGAACTATGATATGCAGTTCAACCCGATAAAAGATATTGTCAATGGATATAAGAATGGAAATAGATACTCAGGTGGTGTGCAAAATTATCCAACCATTGTCAGTTTTGGGTACATTTGATCAAATCATTAAAGAAGCTTTAAGTTCTAAAGAATCCAGCTTCAAATTTGTGAAACAGTCTGCGAATCAAATTTTCTTTAGCATTGCTACGAAAGTTGTTTCTATGTCTGACTATAAGGAATGTTTAACCATTGCATCGATCTTTATTGTAAATATTTCAGCCTATGATTAATGAATTAGCTTCTTTATCTTTATTTAAAAAAAAAAAAAACATTCGACTCTCATAAAAATCATATAATACGTTGCTGACAATCTTTAAATCATGATATTTTTAAAATGCATAATATTATTTTCTTTTATTTTTAATTATATTTGGCAGTCGCCGGCTTGGTGCAACAGCATTTCCCTGGTTCGAGTTTGCTCTTACCACCTTTAACAAAGCCTTGTTTCTTGCAAGTGGTGTCACATTGAGTAGGGGTCGTAAACTTGCCAATGCATTTCATGGCAATGCTAGGCTCGATTCCTCCGACCATTTTTGGACTCAACTCTGCTAATATAATATATATATATATATATATAGGAGACAAGTCAAATAAAAACAGGTACATATATACGTGTAATGTGTACCATATTAAACTATTAAATACATTGATGGAATGTAAAAGTAGGGATGTCAATCAGGACAGTTCATTCTATTTCGTGTTGGCTTTATCAGGTCGTCGGACTTATTAGTTTTTTTTTTCCATTTGTTTTATTTTATGGCCGGGTTTAAAAGTTTTTGCCCTAACCATAAAACCTCGGCTAGTCAGGTTTATTAGGCAAACTCAACTAAAACTTTGGATATTTTCAAGGTAACATACATTCTAAACTTTTCAATTTTAATAAACTAGTGCAATTTATGCTAATACCTATAAATTTATACAGCATTCAATCAATATAATCCTCCATTTTTAAATTCTGACTAAAAATAATTAATATATTTACACTATAATATAATGATCATAATAATTATTTTAATTTTTCATTATTTATTTTCATAAAGATATTTTATTTTGTAATAAATTTATTTATATTTTATTTTCAATATTAATAAAAATTACTAAAGGTGAAGTTACATACAGATTCCGTGTATATTTAATTTGTTCCACATCATTTGTAAAACAAAAAATAATCTTAAGTGGCTCGGACTATCGGGTTAACCCACTAAATTTTAGGCTACCCCGTTCAAGCGGTCAGGCTTGTGACTTATCGAGCTGAATTTTTTATGAGTTTAAAATTTCTTAGCCCTAAACTCTTTCAGGATTATTAGGTCAACCTAACAATTTCGAATTAAGATTGACATCTCTAAGTAAAAGTACATTCAAGAATATGTGCATCATATGATATGAATAACGTGTCACCTTTTTTTTTGGTACTAATACGGAAGCACAAATACTTAATACCATACTGCCCCAACTAAGACTTGAACCCACACCCTCCTATATGGAAAAACAACTTGGTACCACTAGATTACAAGGTCCTTGACATGCATCACCTATATATACATATATCCTGTTTTAACAAATTAAAATCATAAATAAAACATTTTTCAAAAGAAATTACCAGTAAAAGACAAGAGCACCAATAACACGATCATAGCGCCGTATAACTTCAATTTTTGTTCCATTAATAGGAAGCTTGAAATTTAAGTTCTTTTATTTTTTTAGTTTTCTGAAAGCATGTAATTGACTCTATATATTGGGTATGTTTATTATTGTTGGTTTGCTTATGAATACGTTTGAACTTGAAACACAACATCCTAGCTAAACATGTAACAAACATGCTTATGATGCTTTCATGGAAAAAAAAAAAAATAGTTATTAGATGTAACTAAATTAGTTTTTTTTTTTTTTTTTGGAATAACGTTCAAATTGGACAGTGAACGTAATTTAAAAGTGTAATTAGGCTACCGAACAAAGAAAAAAATACAATTAAGGCACTGAACACTATAAAATCATGCAATTTATCCAAGTGATCTGTCGTGGCAAGTTACCAACAAGTAATTAGCTAAAATTTTAAAAAAAATTAAAAAGAAAAAGAAAAAAAAAAAAAAAAAAAACAGGATCTCCAACCGAAATGGTTGAAGACCACGATCCTTGAAGGGATGAAGGCAGCAGCCATGGCCCATGGCTGCCTTCATCCCTTCATTTTTTTAAGCTTTGAAGGGATGAAGCAAGGCAGCTATGGCCGCTGCCTTCATCCATTCATGGATCTGGTCATCTGGTGGTCTCCGACCATCTCGGTCGTAGATCTTGCTTCTTTCTTTTCTTTTTTTTTTTTCCTTTTTTAAATTTTAGCTAATTACCTATTGCTAATTCCACTTTCAGGTAGGGTGGTCAATCTAAATCTAATTCTTTTTTTTTTTTTAATGTTATTCGTTGCAATATATTTCCCAAATAATTCAGTAAGTTATGTTTAGTCCTTTTAAATAAATTTCCAAAGAGTAGTTTAGTTAAAGTTGGTCATGTTAAGAGTTACACATTAATAAAAGTTATAGGTTAGATTAGGTAACTAATTTAATTCAATATATATTTTAGTGTAATTTGATCATATGCAGTATTTATTTATTTATTAGTTTTAGTGTAGCATTTTATTTTAGAAAAACTTGTGCAGGACTATTTCACTAATCTTTGTCTGTGAGACGGGTAGGGCTGTAGGTAATGGGGTGCGTAAGTATTCCGTACAATTTCAGTTATAAGTATTACAATATTTATCATTAGTAACAATCAATTATATATATCCTAAACAGTATTACAATTTCACAATTATTACAATATATATCACAAGTAACTCAAACCCATGACTCCCCATTTGGGAAAGACACTTTATGTCACTAGACCACATGGTCATTGGCTACGACTAAGGACATATATACCCAAAAAATATTTTATTGATCTTAACTTTTTATGGCCATTCTATTAATTATTTAAGTATTACTATTTTTATATAATCCTGAACCATTCCAATAAGTTTAGATCCAGATTATAATCACTATTTAAAAACTCGATCATGATTGCATTAATTTGCATCACAAATATTGCTGAGGCATAATTTGAACAATAGCAATACCTTATACCTGAATCCTAAATACTAGGTTTTATCACTAACATGTTATCTGGCTCACCTAAAAAGTAGGATAAATAACAAAACATATTCATTACCAACTAACCCCTATATATAGAGCATGTTCAATTCGTTTACATATACTCCTGTTAAAATAAAATAAAATAAAATAATAATAATAATAGTAATATTTTATTATTATTATTATAGTAACATAAAATAATAAAAATAAAGTAAGAAATCTCAAAATTATTGATGGCAATGGCAAATTCATTAAAGACTACAGCGACAATCTGCCTCCTGTTTGTGCTCTTTTGTTCTACTGGTAATTTCTTTGACAAAAATCTTCATTAATATTGTGATATAGTTTGTTAGATCAGACATGTACATATTCTCAAACATGCAAATCTCTTTAAAGACAGGCCTGAATGCCTGATTCTATATATCATTGTATAGGTCCGGGACATCATAACTGTTTGAGGATGCATGATTGTTCATTCTTTTTTTTTTTTTTTTTTAAACATGAGCAGAGATGGGTCCAATGATGCTTGGAGAATCAAAAACTATTCATACTGACAAGTTTTGCGTGACCAAAAAATATTGCAAAAAAATGTGCCGTGGACGGGGCTATGATGGTGGTGGTAGATGCATGGAATTAAATTGCGTCTGCTATCATTCAGGGGAGTAATACAATGGTGGTGGTGATTGTGGCAAGTTTTGGGTTTTACAATCATGCTTCAAATGGCTCCTCTGAAGGGGATTAGTATTTAATTTGTTGTTCTATTACAAAATTTTTCTTGCTTTTTAACATTATATTATAACTTTATGTATTTTAAGTAAAGAGTATTGTGATTGAGCACAATATATATGTGAAGTGGATTCAATTGGTTAAATGTGCACTTTTCAATACTACCAAATGTATGTTAATTGTGACATATACAAGAGCACTCGATAATATGTGAAATGCATTCACACTGCTGGAAATTATGAAATTTTCGACACTTGAAAGTGATCTTAAATCAATTTGAAAGCAAAAAGTGATCGGAAATAGCAACAAAGGTTTTTCCGGATACCAAAAGTGGTCGGAACAAGGCTTTCGGCTTGATTTGAGATCACTTTCAGGTGGTCGGAAATTTCATAATTTCCAGCAGTGTCAGTTGGTTCCTGGTGATAAATCAGGTGGTCGGAAATTTCATAATTTCCAGCAGTGTCAGTTGGTTCCTGGTGATAAATTGTGGATAAAGACACTGAATTGAACTTGGGTAGTCGCAATGTGTGAGTTACATCTCATATTATGGGTTCTTGTAGATATTAAACACTGGTCCTCCCACTTAAGGACTTATTTGGTAAATGATGAATCCACCATTTTGATGTTTTGTCCTTGGTCAAAACGCCAAGAAAAATTAAAACACCACATATTGCACCATTTTAATTTGACATTTTGAAAAATGATTCATCTTTCTCCCTTTAAAGAAATTAAATAAAAAATAAAAACCTTAAAACTGGCACTAAATAGTAAATACCATGAGCCATTTTGGCACTTTAAAAAGGAGTTTTGCTCCCCATTAATGCCTGCCCATCAGTCGATTTTCTATTTCCATTTTCAAAAATATGGAGAGAATCAATTATGAACTTTATAATCATTAAACCAAGAAACAGTAATTATATTTTGGCAAGTTGTCAAATAGACCTATCTACTATTGTGAATTACTTAATTTCCACCACAAACTAAATTAAGTGTCAAACAGGCCCATCTACCAGTTAAATTTTTTCGATCGACATTTTTTACAGGTTGCCTATTTATTTATTTTTAAATAAATAAATAAAAATTAAAAAAATATCAGCAACTACTGTCAACAATGAGGTCCAGATATGGATGAGTCGATGAGACACTTAATTTAATTCGTGGTGAGGAATTGAGCACTTTGCAGTAGTAAATGGGTCTCTTTGACACTTGTGCCTTATTTATTTATTTATATGTTCGACTCTCATGAAAATCATATAATATTATTAAATCATGATATTTCTAAAATGCATAATATTATTTTATTTTATTTTTAATTATATTTGGAAGGGTCTATCTTGATGCAGCAGCATTTCCCCCGTATGATTTTGCTTCTACCAGCTTTACCAGAGTCCTCTTTCTTGCAGGTGGCTTCGCATTCACTAAGGTTCGTAATATTGCTAAAGCATTTCATGGTATCGCCCTTCTCGACTTCTCCGACCACTTTTGGACTCAACTCTCCTAATAGGAGACAGATCAAATAAAAACGCGCACTTAGATACGTATGTGTAAAGTGTACCATACTAAACTATCAATAAAAGAATGTGTGCATCATATGATATGACTAACGTGTCTAATTTTAGAGTTTGCATGCTTTTTAAGTGCACTTTGTAGTTTTGAGAATGCACTATTTTTTCGCTAGTGCAGCACCTATATATACATATTTCGTTTTAACAAATTAAAATCATAAATCATTGTTGAAAATTATAAAATTTCATACCACCTGAAATTTATCTTAAATCAAGTCGAAAGTAAAAAGTGATCGAAAATAAGGTTTTCAATTTGATTTAAGATCACTTTCAGGTGGTCGGAAATTCCATAATTTTTAGCAAATAATAAAGAATTTTTCAAAAGAAATTACCAGTAAAAAAGAACACCAATAAGAGGATCATAGCGCCAAATAACTTCCAACTTTCGTTCCATTACTAGGAACCTTGAAATAATTTAATTAAAACTTTGGATATTTCAAAGTAATTCTAAACTTTCAATTTTAATAAACTAATGCAATTTATGCTAATAAATATAAGTTTATACATCATTCAATCAATATAAACTTCTATTTTTAAATTCTGACTAAAAATTAATTAATATACTTAGTACTTACACTATAATGTAATGCTCATAATAATTTTTAAAATTTTTCATTATTTATTTTCATAAAAATATTTCATTCTGTAATAAATTTTTTTGAATTTTATTTTCAAATTTAATAAAAATTACTATAGATTGAGCTTACATATAAATTACGTGTATATCATTTTGTTCCACATCATTTGTAAAAAAAAAAAAAAAAAAAAAAAAAAAAAGTCTTAAGTGGCTCGAACTATCGGGCTAGCCCACTAAATTTCAGGCTACCTGTTCGAGCCATCAGGCTTATGACCTACCGTGCTGAATTTTTTATGGATTTAAAATTTATTAGCCCTAACCCTAAACTTTTGCAGGCTTATTGACTCAACCCATCAATTTCGGATTAACATTGGCATCTCTAAGTAAAAGTATACATTCAAGAATGTGTGCATCATATGATATGAATAGCGTGTATAATTTAAGAGTTTGCATATTTTTTTAAGTGCACTTTTATTACATAATGCAGCACCTATATATACATATCTCTTTTTAACAAATTAAAATCATAAATAAAATTTTTTTTAAAAAGAAATTACCAGTAGAGGAAAAGAGCACCAATAATAGAATCATAGCGCCAAATAACTTCATTTTTTCTTCCATTAATAGGAAGCTTGAAATTTAAGTTTATTATTTTTTAGTTTTCTGAAAGTATGTAATTAACTCTATATATAGGGTATGTTTATTGTTGGTTTGCTTATGAATACGTTTGAACTTGAAACACAAGATCCTAGCTAGGCATGTAACAAACATGCCTTTACCAAAAAAAAAAAAAAAAAAAAAAAATGTAACAAACATGCTTATGATGCTTTCACGGAAAAATATATAGTTATTAGATGTAATTAAATTAGTTTTTTTTTTTTTAATGTTATTCTGTTGCAATATATTTCCCAAATAATTCAGTAAGTTATGTTTAGTCCTTTTTGAATAAATTTCCAAATTGAAGTTGGTCATGTTAAGAGTCATCACACATTAATAAAAGTTATAGGGTAGATTATCTAACTAATTGAAATCAATATTTTAGTGTAATTTGATCATATACATTATTTATTTATTTATTAGTTTTAGTCACTGCTGGAAAAATGACATTTTCCGTCCACTTTTTCGACCAACAAGAAAAGTGGACGGTAAATTAGTGTTTTTTCTAAATTATTGACCACCCTGTTAAGTGGTCGGAATATGGACAATATTACCGACCACTCTCAAATGGTGGTCGGAAAGGCATACCACTAGAAAGGTGATTGAGAACGTTATCACCGTTGTTTTTTTAATTGGTTAGCTTTGATGAGTTCCGACCACCTTTGGTGGTCTGAAGTCAGATTATATCTGGGAGCCCACAATGTCCACTAATAAATTTGTCACTATATTCTGTTACAAGTTACAACCTCCTAAATACATAGATTTGTCATACTAAAACTATAACCAAATATTTTAAAGTTAATAATTTAATACAAAATTTAAAATTAATGTAAATTTTAATATTCCTTTGACATAAGAAATTAAATATTTATTCTATTTAATAATTACTGGTAATATACAGCAAATCTCTAAATGTTCTCTCTTGACGATACGGCGATACCGGCCTCCAATAAATAAATTGACGAACTCCAAAGGTCGCGTCATTTCTCTTCACAACACGGCGGCACCGGCCAACAAATGTTCTCTCAGCTTCGTCCCCAACCGGTCGCACCTCAAGCTAATGCTACGGAGTCATCGCCATCTTCAAAAGCTATGGAGTCGCACATCGTCATCCTCAACCAAAAGGTATCACTGTTTTAGTCTCTGTCTAGGGTTTAGGCTTAGAAATCTTATTTCAACTGCATTTTCTTCTCTTTTTTTTTCCTGCATTTTTGCTTTGACATTTCTGATTAGATATAGATGGATTTGTAGGTTTAGATATTATGAAATATATATAATACTCCCTCTTATTGCAGTTAGATCAGCTACCTGGTATATTGAACTTGTGTTCGTTAATTACCTGTGTTTGATTAAGATTCGACTTGCTTAGCATTTTGATTTGTTAAATTTAACTTAGCATTTTGCTTAGCATTTTGATTAAGAAAAAAAACATTAAACTTAAATTTGGAGTTAGATCAGCTACCTGGTATATTGAATTATGTATATAGCTTTTCTATTGCATAAGATTTCCAACGTAATTCTCTCATACATTTGTTGTTGGTGTTGGTTTTTTTTTTTTTTTTTTTTTTTTTTGTATATATCATAATGTTCTGTTACCATTAGCTCTTTAATTGAATGCTGTTTAGTTTGATTTTATTGTTAGGAGTGCATATTGTTTGAAATCTAGACCGTGTAGACATCTATGGAGATCAAAAATGGTTGAGTATTCCTTGGAAGAAGCTTCAGGTTGGAGACATTGTGAAGGTAAGTACACTGCATAAATAATTAATCTATATTTTTCGTATTTATTTATGTTTATCGGGTGAATCTTTTACTTAATCTACATCTACCTATACATCATATGAAAGTGACTTATCTTTTAATTTGTTCCTTATTTTGAAGAATGCAATGTCATTTACTTAATTTTTATTTTATTTTGTTAATTAGTTATAATTATAATTATAAGATGTAAATTATTTGAATACAACTTTTTAATTATGCTACACAAGGTGGCATCCCAACAGATATCTAGATCTTGGGGGTTAAAGGCATATATAAAGAATTAATACGGGTAATACTATATACCCTCAGCCCTTTTCACTTCCCTTTCTTTTAATTATATGTAAAGTCTGAAACTTTTGTGCTAAAAATTGCATTTTTATTCTTCTTCCTTGTAAATTCCTTGTATAAAATAGATCAAATGTATTTACTGGACTGGTTATTTTCACTTTCATCTTACCAAAGCTATTATAAATTGAATAAGCTTCACACTCCAACATTTTGAATGTTTAGAATTAAAGCAAACATTTGGGTGTAAAACTTCCTTTGCCTAACATTCTATTCTATACTGTAATCTGTCACATTACATGCATCATTTGGTGCTAGTACTGATATCCTCCCCCTTTGAAAACAGTGAGACAAAATGTCAAATTGCTGCACATAGTGGTGCAAATCCGCAGTCGTTCCAATCTACTCTCCTAATTTGCATGGAGCCGGTAAACATGAAAGCAGTGTATCTGCATATTCATATATGGAAAATGTGAACTTCATTCTGTATCTTCTGATTAAGTGGACCGACACATGCAGTGACCAGACTATGATATAAATAGACTGTCTTGAGTATCATATTAGAGAAGAACTAAATAAAACAGCACCTCAAGTGATGGTTGTATTTAATCCACTTAAGGTGTGTATCTAGGTAAACATAAAATGCATAGCCATGCTTGTGTTCATAACAAATCGTGTATGCTAGATTGATTCTTATTTTACTTGGGTTTAATATCGGGTGGTTATAACAAATCTGGAACCTGGCTTAGTGATGGATCTTGATGCAAAGAAATGGCCTGATGCACAAACAGATGATACTTCGTCTTTCTACAAGGTAACCAATTGACCAAACAAAGCAATTTATGCATCAGACTGAAATGACTGTGAGTATTCTTCCATATAGGGGCTGGAAGCAGCAAGCCAGCAATGGCCATTCCCGCTCTCTTGAGGAAAAGACAGTGAAGACATGGAGGAAGCCGGAGGTGAACGATGCTCGGCCTTCCATGTTGGTGAAGCAAGCCTTTCTTTGATTCTAATTACTATCCATATTTTATATATAATACTAATATTATGATGAATTGCCATGTAGTTTAATTCTTAATGTAGTTTCTTGCTCTAGTAATTTGAGTTATTTCTCTGAAAGCACTTGATTATTAGCTAATTTACCTGTAAGTAATCTTATTATGCTGTACACTCAGCATGCTTCATAGTTTTTGTAGGAAATCTTAGTTGCCTATTTCTTGCTCCATTGCAAGGTGTTTAAGTGAAGAATTTCTTTTATATAAAGGAGTTTTGAAATTGATCTTGTAAATGGACATTTTAGTGGATGAACTGAAGATATGAATCACCGGCAAGAGAAGTTTGTAAGGTCAGTTTTAGTAATGCATCATTGCTTTGTTGTTATTGGGGTGAGTTCTATTGGATGGTCCATTGGTCTCTACCAAGACTGGAAGAGAAAGAAAATATGAGAGTTTGCTTGACATGAAATACCTTTTCTACTTCTCTTTTTCAGTAAACAAGCAAGGATAGTTAAATGTTTTCCATGTTGGTATCATTTTAGGGTACTTGTGTGATTCCACACAATGAAACTGATGATTTGAAGTCAGCTGGAGCTGTGAGGTCTGTGTTTGGACTGTTCGTTGAGCTCGTTAAATCATGGAACCTTCCTGACTGGCTCATGCATTGGGGCCATCCCGCCAACATGGTACACTTGTCTGTTTGAAGGAAATTCCATTCCATTGATCCAATTAAGATTGCATCTACTGTCATTTATTTATTTAGTATTCCCTAAATGTTGTTATTGTTGCTGTTCCACTTTATAGGATGTTGTGCTCTTTGCCATGGGTGGTTATGGAACTTACCTGGGATTCATAATCCGGTTTTCTGATGATGTGGTAACAACTATGCAATCTATCTTTTGTATTCAAAATTGGATGGGTTCTTGAATGTCCATCTGTTTATATTTATAGTTCCGGCCTGTCTCTAAATTGGGTATACGAATATCATATAGAGGCAACTTAATGAAATCGTTTCTAAGATAGTTATTACCATGACACAACATAGTGGTACATATATAGTATTCATTCAAATTGGTGTACAATGAATGTGTAGGAGGAAAGAGCAAAAGCCAAAGACTTGCATCCCAAACTCCTTGCTGGAATGTTCTTCTTCTTTGCTCTTGGAGCTACTGGAGGGATAACTTCTTTGCTCACTTCAGACAAACCCATCTTGGAAAGGTAATTAAGTAATTTCCTCATATTAAGTTAACCTTAGCTTATTTTCATCGAATCCATCAAACATACATGTCATCCTAAGCGTCTGTCTGCAATTCTTGCAGCCCTCATGCAATAACTTATAGCTGTAAGAAGCTGACATCAAACATACATGAAATTGATGAAGAAGCTGTAAGAACTGCATCTGTGTATCATAGTTTGTCCTTTTCTTTCTAGATTGACTTGTGTTAAATTTTCAACTATATATTCATGAATGGATTCTTTTCAAGTGTATGAAATGTCTATATGTTTTGTAGCAAATATCTTACCAGCTTCCAACAATATATATTCATTTCACTACAGGGGGTTCTCTGTGGTGAAATGAATTTTTTTTGTTGACTACGTCCACTTTTCCGACCACCAAAGTGGTCGATATTTCCGACCACCGGTGGTCGGGAAATCTGAACCCGCCCGACTATTTTCCTGGTCATTTTTTTCGACGGCCTTAGAAAAGTGATGGCTATTTCCGACCACTTCTTCGGTGGTCGGATATAGCGAGGGTGATTTTTCCGAATACCAAAATTGGTCGGAACAGGCGTTTCCGACCTAATTAAGGCCATTTCCGACCACTTTCAGGTGGTCGGAAATCGGCAGATTTCCAGCAGTGAGTGTAGCATGCATTTTCTTTTAGAAAAACTAGTGTGGAATATTTTGTAGGAACCGTTGGTAGAAAACAAATAATAATCAAATAAAAAATTGACTATTATTTTCTGGAAAGAAGGGAAGAAAAATTTGAAGAAAATTGGCTAGTGTTTGGTGTTGGGTTTTTGCAAGAGTCAAGTGTGCACTCTTTCCTTAAAACCTTATTTGCCACCTCCCGTAGATGCTAGGAGCGTTGTGGCCTAGGCTTCCCAGGATAAAACTTGCTATGATCCAATGTTTGAGCATTCAAACAAAGGATCCGGCGAGCAAGACAATGGCTATGAACACAGTATGGCTTAAAGAAAGAGTAGAAGCAGAGAGGTTTTGAGGCTAAAAGATGAACTTTCGTGTTCTATATTTTCTGTGTAAAACTCTACTGCCCAACTCCTCTTTTTATAGGGGTGAAGGATTTAATAGCTTTTAATTAGGCACTTAAGGGAACCCCTTCACCTTCCTGTAACAGCACCATTAGTAATTCAAATTGGTATTAAATTTTTTACAATATATATTGTAATCATCATAATTTCAACTATAACTAATACAATCATTAGTTATTAAATGTAATTAAATTAGTATTTTTTTTTTTAATGTTATTCTGTTGCAATATATTTCCCAAATAATTCTGTAAGTTTATGTGCATATTTAATACATGTAAATATGTAATGTTCCCAACTAGAGTTAATCCAGTTATTGTTGGAATGTATTTTAGCATTTTTTTTCCATTAATACAAAATAGAAAACTATTACATTTTAGCACAAAGCGAGATCTACCTTATTTAGTGCACGCTTTCAGATATTGATTATTGATTTTTCTGTCACCTTATATAATACGAGTAATAGTAGTAGTAATAATAAGTCAACAGTTTAATTAACTTGGTTGGACGATTGTTCTCAAAATTAATTTTATTAAATTTTATTTTATTAATTAACGTATAAAAACAAATCTATGAATTCGAGCCTCAGTGTTTCAGTAGGTTGAGAAAGTAGTTATGAATGGATACTACATTGTAATAAAGTTTTTATCACAGTTATTTAATCAAATTAAATGTTAAAGATGGATGAAAAAAAAAAAAAAAAAAAAACCATTTTCCCTCACTTGAAAAAAAAAAAAAGTAAAAATCCCATTACATACGATTTTCTTTTTCCATTTTCAAATGTATGGAGAGAACCAATTACGAACTTTATAATCATTAAACCAAGAAATATTATTTATTTATTTATATATATGTTCGACCCTCATGAGAATCATATAATACAATACGTTGCTGACAATCATTAAATCATGATATTTTTAAAATCCATAATATTATTTTATTTTATTTTTACTTATATATGGAAGAGTTTGAAGCAGCAGCATTTCCCCGGATGGAGTTTGCTTTGAGTCGCTAAACCAGAGTCCTCTTTCTTGCAAGTGGCTTTGCAATCATCAAGGGTCGTAAACTCGCCAAAGCATTTCAAGCTAACGCTCACCTCGGCTTCTCCGACCACTTTTGGACTCAACTCTGCTAATAGGAGACAGATCAAATGAAAACGCGCACTTAAATACATATGTATAAAGTGTATGTGAAAGTAAGGATGTCAATCGGGACGGTTCATTCAGTTTCGGACTAGTCCTATCAAGTCGTCGGACTTATTAGCACTGTTTTTTTTTTCTTTTCTTTTTTGGTGGGGTTTATTTAAAATTTTTGGCCCTAACCCTAACCCGGTGTAGATAGAAAGACCGATATCCCGACTGATACCAGATTAGATAATGCATTTTATTCAGTAACTGAATCAGAAGAGATTACAAAGTATATCAACTCTAACAAACTCTGACAAATAGAACAAGACTAACTATCAAAATGTCTACCACATAATACAAGACTATATATTATACAAAGATAATAAGATGAAATAATACTAACAGGGTAGTCAGGTTTATCGGGCAAACTCAACTAGAAGTTTGGACATTTTCAAAATAACATTTTAAACTTTTCAATTTTAATAAACTAGTGTGATTTATTATGCTAATAAATATAAACTTATATATCATCCAATCAATATAAACCTCCATTTCTAAATTCTAACTAAAAATAATTAATATATTTACACTATAATATAATGTGATCATAATAATTTTTTAAAAATTTGCATTATTTATTTTCATAAAAATATTTTATTTTGTAAAACTTTTTTTTTTTCAAATTTAATAAAAATTACTAAAGATGAGCTTACATATAGATTTCGTGTAAATTTTATTCCACATCATTTGTAAAACAAAAAATAGTCTTAAGTGGTTCGGACTATTTGGCTAGCCCACTAAATTTCAGACTACCCTGTTCGAGTCATTAGGCTTATGACTTATCGAGTTGGATTTTTTATGGGTTTAAAATTTCTTAACCCTAATCCTAAACTTTTTCAGGCTTATTAGGTTAACCTATCGATTTCAATTCGGACTAAGATTGACATCTCTATATAAAAGTACATTCAAGAATGTGTGCAACATTTAATATGAATAACGTGTATAATTTTAGAGTTTACATGTTTTTTAAGTACACTTTTACATAATTTAGTTTGTAGTTTTGTGCACTACATTTTCGCTAGTGCAGCAGCACCTATGTATACATATCTCTCGTTTTAACAAATTAAAATAATAAATAAAGAATATTTCAAAAGAAATTACCAGTAGAAAAGAGCACCAATAACAGGATCATAGCACCAAATAACTTCAATTTTCGTTCCATTACTAGGAAGCTTGAATTGAAATTTAAGTTTTTTTTATTTTTTGGTTTTCTAAAAGCATGTAACTCTATATATATGGTATGTTTATTGTTGGTTTGCTTATGAATACGTTTGAACTTGAAACACAACATCCTAGCCAAGCATGTAACAAACATGCTTATGATGCTTTCACGGAAAAAATATATAGTTATTAGATGTAATTAAATTAGTTTTTTTTTTTAATGTTATTCTGGTGCAATATATTTCCCAAATTATTCCGTAAGTTTATGTGCATATTTAATACAATCAAATATGTAATGTTCCCTACTAGAGTTAATCCAGTTATTGTTTGGATGCATTTTAGCATATTTTTTTCTTTAATACAAAATAGAAAACTATTACATTTTAGCACAAAGCAAGATCTACCCTTATTTAGTGTACGCTTTCAGATATTGATTACTGATTTTTCTTATCGCCTTATATAATATTAGTAGTAGTACTAATAAGTCAACAGTCTAATTAATTTGATTGGATTGTTTTCAAAATTAATTTTTTTGTACTAGTGAATGTTGTATGCAAACAAAAATCTAGGAAAATCTTACAAAGACATTAGTTTAGTGGATGAAAAGTCTCACTTAAAACTTGCTTCAACTCACAATGTCGAGGTTCGGTCTGTCTACAAACATTGGAGGCTTGGGTTTGGGGTAAGCTAGTTTTTTGTGCGCAAAAATATACTGTTTGGTCACTACTGAAAATTATGAAATTTTCGACCACCTGAAAGTGATCTTAAATCAAGTTGATACCAAAGAGTGGTCGGAAATAGCAACAAAAGTTTTTCCGAATACCAAAAGTGGTCAGAACAAGGCTTTCGACTTGATTTAAGATCACTTTCAGGTGGTCGAAAATTTTATAATTTCCAGTAGTGGGTGTTGAGTGGAAAAAATAATAATAATAATAATAATAGAAAATCCAGGAAAGCAACTTGGTAACCGATTTATTCGATCTCCGATTGAATGGGTGCAATTTCTTGAGTCCAACATTTTTGTCAACTTTTATAAGCCTCCGACAACCGCGTCAACGCCACATTTTGGGTCCAATTTACAACTTTGTCGAACATGAATTTCATGTTTTCTAAAACTATTTTTATATCTTTAAATCAAACTCTTACACTACCCATACCTTGCTTTAGTAAATGGGTTCTTATAAAAAAATAATAATAATAATGCAAGGATTTCCAATTATCATCGACAAAACTTCATTTTCTTTGTCGAAAAGAATATTTTCATTTAAGTTTTTGACCACTTATGAGTGCGTGAAAAAACAAAAATGCGTCCAAACTTTCCGTCCACCAAATTAGTTGGTTTACGAAATCCATTTTTATTTTTATTTCGTGAAATGTTCCGTGGATGGAATTTTAATTTATAATTATAATTAATTTTATTTTTAATAAAGAAAGTTTCTTCGATTCAACAGAGTGGTTCTTCATTCAGATAGAGAAGTTGTTTAAAACTTTTCTTGTGGGCCGCCATGCTTCCCTCACCCCCTTGCCTTGCTTTCCAAGTTCAGTGCCTCCTTTGCCTATTTCCGTCCTTTAAATCCAACAAGCTAAATCCCACGCAATCATAATACATGGACCATAGTCAATACTACTAATATACAGTATATTTTTATTATATTAAAGGTACATTTTTAATATTTCAACAGTTCATTTTTTAAGGCATATTATTTGGGTACACAAAGTATATTCAGTACTCAAATAATATACATTCAGTATATTAAAAATATACATTTATTTATGATCCACAATATAATTTGTCAATCCATCCTTTACTCTTCTTTGGTCAAGACTTTGCCAATAAAGTTGGTACGGGTCCCAAGATCCCATCAATAATAGTATCAACACTAAAATATCATTTTAACAAAAATTTGTGGATATTATATCAAGTTTGCTTTCCTGTAAAGTAATTGAAAAAGATAAATAATTCTTATAATAGAAAATTTTGCTTTTTTTTTATATATAGGCTATGTTTGGCAAACCTAGTTGAAAAGGTATAAGTTAGGAGCTGTTAACTAGTTGATTATGTTTAGGCACCCTTGTGCCGCATCCGTCCGCATATTAGGAACCCTCGTGTCGTATCCGTCCGCAACTTAGGCACCCTCGTGCCGCATCCGTTCGCAACTTAGGCACCCTCGTGCCGCATCCGTTCGCAACTTAGGCACCCTCGTGCCGCATCCGTCCGCTACTTAGGCACTCCCGTGCCACATCCGTCCACAACTTAGGCACCATCGTGCCACATCCGTCCACAACTTAGGCACCATCGTGCCACATCCGTCTGCATATTAGGCACCCTCGTGCTGGATGGTGAAGAGTTGCGGAAGATGATGATAAAGTTAAGGAGAAAAGAAAAGGCCAAAAAGGTTTTAATTCGAAAGGGTAAAAGATGTTATTTATTTAAAATAATAAGGATAAAGATGAAAAAAAGTTATGAAGTTCCTAGTTTATTTTTGAAACGCTACCTAAAGTTTATTTTTGAAACGCTACTAATAAGCTCTTATTTTAAGCTACTAGCTTATCTTGAGAACATCACTAAAAAGAAATTATAGCTTATTAGTAGTTTAAAATAAACTTTAAGCTTCTAAATAAACATTGTCAAACACAGCGATAATATACTCCGTAAGTCATTTTTGCCAATAAAACAATATGTATTTTATGCCATATGTTTCATTTGGTGATTCTAGTTTCGTCGTTATTACAACGTGCTTTGTGATTTCCGATGCCCATCCATATCATCTTTGAAAGCTATACAGTCACCACCTAGCTAATATATTCACTTAAAATCTAAAGAAAAAGTTAAATCAAATTAATGTAGCTACGTGGACATATATATATATATATATATATATATATATATATATATATATAGAACCTGATTTAGGATCATATGAGAACACTTGCTTAGGTGAGGATAAAGATGAAAAAAAGTTAATGGTTTAGATTAGATTAAGTGTGTGCGAACGCAAATTAAATGTGTGTAAAAGCGATTTGTTCTCATTTACTTCGCGTTCGCACACACTTAATCTAATCTAGACAATTAAAAAATATTAGATGGAAGCACACAATTTGTTCTCACGTTCTCACCTATGCAAGTGTACGTTCTCATTGGAACCCTCCACTATAGAACCTTATTTTATAAGAGTTTCATCTCATTATTCATCATTAACCTAATCATTCACATTTCACCCCTAGTACCAAACATGCAAAATACTTTCACCAAAACTCATTACCATTACCAAGTATTTGATACCCATTCCAATTCCTGCGAACCAAACACACCCTAAGTGACTCCAACTTCTTCCTATCTTGTTAGTACGTATCATGCATGCAATTTCAAGACATGAGAAATTCATATCTTAAAAAGAAAAGTTGCTTCTCATTCACTCATTTTGTTCAACCTTTTTCCACCATAAGTCATACCACCACATACACTTAAACTCATATACTTTATCATACTTCACTCTCATACAACCTAAGCCACCACTCTCTCTCCGGCCAATAACCAAATCTCCGGCCACCGTCGCCACCCTCGAAATGCCGCGCCTCGCCGTCTTCTTCTTCTTCCTGCTCGCACTCCCTGCTATCAATGGATTCCGTCCAAGAAATCTCGGAGAAATCATTCAGAATAAGTGTGCCGAATGCCTGCATCCTCCTCCGCCTCCTCCTCTACCCGAATGTCCACCCCTACCGCCGCCATCTCCTCCTCCTCTACCTCCTTATTGTCCTCCTCTACCGCCGTCCCCACCGCCGCCTCCTCTACCGTCCCCTCCACCGCCTATTCTACCCTCACCACCACCGCCTATTGTACTCTCACCACCACCGCCTATTCCACTCCCACCTCCACCCCCTATTCCACTCTCACCTCCACCGCCTATTCTACCCTCACCACCACCGCCGCCAGTTCTGCCGGCGCCGCCGCCACCGCCCATTTTCATTCCACCACCTCCAAGGGGTTCCGGCGGTCAATCCCTATACATAACCAGCCCGGATGGGCAATTGTACCCGGTCTACCACCCTCTTTCCGGCGCGGAAAACCGGTTCGCCGTGGGAATATTACCACTGTTGACCGGCGGTTTATTATTCTTGGGGTTATTTATGACTTAATAATTTCTGGGGAAATTCCAGAAATTATTTTTTATAAGCTTTCAATATTGTGCAGAAAATTGATCACTGATCCTTAGGTTGGTACACGTTTTATACCCTTAATTATGTTGTATTAGTGTTTAGTTTTTGTAATAATTCCAATACTTTTTTTTCAGCTTAATATGTTCTGTGTATTTATATCATTTGTTCTTGGTGGTTTAAAGTGAATAAATTTCATTTTATAAATAAATATTCATTACTGAATAATCTAATGTTCATAATGAATTCTTGTTTCATATTCTATGTCATGTTTATTTAAATTTTTGTATTTAATAATAGATGGATTAGATGCATTGATATACTTTTAAATTTTTAATACTCATATTGGTCATCTTTAATTATGAGAGTTATACATGTGTGCTCGCACGGGCTTAGTTCACTGGTTTATAAACAGTATTTGTGAGAAGATACCAAGGTTTGAACTTCAACAGCGACGTGGGCAGATCCCTTGTGTGCACCGACATTTGACATTGTCTGCTGATTTACATCCTCTCAAATGATCAGATGAGCCCTTAGAGTTGGAGATTCAACTTTTGGAGAAGGGAGTTATACATCTAGGTAGATATTCCACCATGCATGGGGAATTGAAATGGCCATAAATAAATGTATTTCTATATTAATGCAATGTTAAGACTCTACTCAAAGTTTGGAAATTAGTATTACTTTGAATGTGTTTTTTTAAGAATACCCTTAAATACAATAAAGTTAATCTAGTTAAAGTTTTATAAAGTGGGAGTATTTCGTGTATTTTAATTAAAAATACAACATTTTTTTAAAGATAATATATATCAATCTAAAAATGAAATAATTTTTTTTGTACGTTATTAAAATTCTTGTTGTGCGTCACAACTTTATAAGTGAGTTAATAGTCATGATATTTACGTAAGTTAATGACATCATCTTGTGCATAATTATACATCAACATATCATTTTCATTGATTAGATTGCCCAATTACTTCTTTTGGCAAGAAAAAACTAGTCTAAGACTTATTACAATTATTGAACTTTGGATGGCTAATCTTCATCGAAGACTAAATTGCATATATATAGTTCAAAAATACATTTTAATCATGTTTTTTGTTATGTGGGGGTATGAAAGTGAAACAAAAGAGAGGTTCCAAAACTTTGGGCATCAAGATTTTGATGGCAGGCATGTCCTCATTAGTTTTAGCCATTCAAGGAGATAGAGATTAGCCTTAGCTTCTTTTGACACGTTGCAAAGCTATAGCTTGAGAAGAAAATGATAAGTCACATATGTTTTTGTACATTTCTTTTAATTTTGTCTCAGCTGTCTCTATATTTAAGTAATTTAAAAAAAAAAAATAGCACATTACCCAAAAAACATTTCCTAGACCAAACTAGCCCCCTTATAGTATACCAAGGAATATAATTGCCTCTTGTAATAAACTTGCCTGCATTTCAAAATCTCATAACCATACAAATCAACAAACCACTGCCTCAAATAATTGAGAGATGTTCATTTGACCCTGTCTGAGCCATTGAGTCACTGTGATTTACATCCTCCCAAATGCTCTGTCGGGCAATGGTGTGGGGCCCTTGGGATTAGTGATTCAACCTTTTGGAAGAAGAAATAATTTACATGTAACCGCCCACGAGTTTAGCTCAATGGTTCAGTAAGCAATATTTGGGAGAAGAAATAATTGAGATGTTGATAATAAAAGCTGATAAGTATTAGCAAATTAAAGCATATGTCATTAATTCAGTGGCCTCTCATTTCTTTGGTTTTGGGGTTTCCAGTAACATAGCATTCTTGAAATTGCAAGAACCTAACACAACGAAACGAATGCTCGAAATATAGTCTAACAAACTAGATATAGTTACATACATGATGCATATGTGCAGTAGTAACCTATTGGAACCAAGAAACATTGATACGATATTGCATTGTCATCAAGAGAAGGCGAGAATGCATATGGATTGATCGATCTGACCTGAGATGTGTATATATAATAGGCGTTGTTCGAGCAAGGCACGGTTGTAAACTTGAACTCGAGGAAGCTCGGGAGTTTAGGAAGCAACGCCCACAGCGAAGAAGTGAATGCCTTTGATGTCCTTCTTGATAACATTGTTGCTAGTTCTCATTGCACTACTAATCTTCGGTTTCCTCTCACCCTTGGGGCCTTTGTTTACCTTGTTGGAATTGGCGTCTGGTGTTTTTGGTTTTCTCGAGCTCGGAATCTGCTTCGTTGTCTCTTGCTCGTTCTTCACTACCGGAGTGGGAAGTGGAGACGACACGCTGCCATCGGAGGAGATTGTTTTCCGGTGCTTGATTGTTGACGAGGCGCCCCCGAAGTCCAAATGTTTGCGGGCGAAATGGGATCCGTTATTTGTCGCCCCCGAAGAAGATGTGTCGTTTTCGGCACCTACTGTGCTTGAAGATGATTGCTTTCTTTGTGGCTTACTCGAGTTGGATCTATTCGCCATGTTCTGTAACCGAACATAAGTAAACAACATCAGATCGTTTTCGGGGGTTAATTAATTACAAGAATAGCTACAATATCGATGAAGGTCGGTGAAGTAAGGGTCAAGTCCAGCACCCTGCCTCTCGAGAATGTGGTGGCGGTCTATAAGGAAATAAAGTTGCGTCTTCGCTATAAGCTATAGCTTTTGGCGTAGTTATAACCGTTTGATCCTAACAAGTGGTATCAGAGCCAAGTCACGGGTTCAAGTGCTGGGAGGGGAAGTGGGGCCAGGTCCAGCACCCTGCCTCTCGAAAATGTAGTGGCGGTATATAATGAAATAAAGTTGCACGAAACATGGTTCTACAATAACTAGTTCGAACTTCGGATATGGTAAAAATACCTTGTTTCGATCTGATTGTTGTCCGGCTTCATGGTAAAAAGACGGCATGGGAGTTGCTTTGAAATTCAGGCTTCTTCTCAGCCTTCGTATCTCAGCTTCCGACTTTTCCTGTACGAATGAGAAGTAGACCGATTTATAGTCCTATAAACATCAGAAACAGAAAAAAACGACAATACTTATATCACAAGGGTATATATCTAAATGCTCGGGTATCTTATTACCTGCTTTCTCGTTTGGAGTTGATTCATCTCGGCTTCCTTTGCATGCATTTTCTCCTCCAGCTTCATCGAGAACTGAAACAAATTTTAAACATCTCAGTTAGATTATTTCGAAATCTTTTAAGCAAACTTTCTACACAAAATCGGGGGTATAAGTACTCGCCTCCTTCCTCCTCTCGGCACGTTCTTCGCTTTTGAAACTGAAAGCAGAACCGTTTTGTTTCACGCTCGGTGTAGCTGAAGCAACCGCCCTTTTACGCCTGAATAACATCGAAATTACGTCAGACGAAAATATACGAAAAATTGCACAGAAAGTTCATTCCTTTCACATCACTTAGACCTGTCCACGCCTTGATGAGCCTTCTCTTTCGTTCTCATTTCCTTCTCAGCGCTACAAATTGAAACCGATATTGAAATATAGTCATCACCCCGAGACTTAAACTAGCAAACGTGAATATTTAGAGATATAAAAACAATACGACATTATACCTTTTACTTTTCGAGCTATAGCTAGATGAAACCTGTTCAAAACAAACCAACCGAGAATCAGAGGAGTAATAATGGGATTGAATTTATTCATTATTGCAAAAGAGTTTAATTAAAAAAGACCTCATGTTTTGGTGTTCTCGACACTGAACAATAAACAGGAGCAGAAACCGGTTTTTCTCTCACTGATGATGAAATGCCACTCGGCCTTCTAGGTTTTCTCGTAACGTCTTTTACCGGGTCTTTTGTAGCATCTTTTGAGACTATAATTGCAGTTACCTTAGCAGGATTAACTAGAGACAATCTAGAATTCGATTGTTTAATTTCGGGTCGAGGCTCTGAATTTGTGCTCTCGTCCTTGTCAATCTCGGGAGAAGTAGGAATCGGAGCAGCAGTACTCGATGTCACGTTTTCACCGCCAAAATTCTCTTCGGTGGCGTGAATTTCTGACTCGGGATTGACTGTCCCGGTAACCCGAGAACAACCCTCTTCTCGTTCACCTTCAGTCAATTCATTCTCGCCATCAAACACTGATCCATCACGACTCTGTGCAGAATAACCACAATCATTGAAATGCTCGAAATCCCCCTCGTACCCTGTACTCTCGGTCACACTAAAGTGTGCAGATTGCCCCGTGCTATTAACATTCTCATCGTCCCGCTCACTATGAGCATTATTCTCAGATAGATCATTCCCGCTAGTTTGGCACTCCGCTCCACCACTATTACGAGACTCGCAAGAACTCTGGCTTAAAAGCGCCCTCCGTTTAAAATGAGCCTCGAGTATCGCCTTTTTCTCAATTACAGAACCCGGCTTCGAATATCTCTCCACCTCTTCAAGGTACCTGTTATGCGAGAAAGAAGACCTCCTCTCCCAACACAAATCCTCATTCTTAAACCGCCCAAATGAGATCGAACCCGAGTGAAGAGAATCCGCCTGCAAGATTTAACCAAATCGACATACAACATCAATCAAGATTCAAGAATGCAGATCTTAATACATGGCAAGAACAAAAAGATTATATCTTTTTGGCTTCCCACAAATTTCAATTTTCCAACAAAATCAATTCAGAAATAACCATACCCTAATTTAGATTGAAAACTAAACTTCTTTTATACTAATCAATACCAAATAATTGATCCATTCTTGAGTGCCCTACAAACCCCACACCAAAAAGAGGGGGAAAAAACACTTTTTTTTACAGAGCCCATACACAAAATTGAAAATTAGCAAATCCCAATCTGGAAAAAGGGGAGAAGGGTGATGGGAAAGTGAATAAAGAAGAACCCAATCAATCACCAAATGCAGATCACACCATAGACCAAGAAAAAGTGAGATCCAAAAAGAACAAATCTTTACAGACAAAAATTCATCACTAAAACAAAAAGAACCTCATAATCAAACACTCTTACCTGGAAATTATGCCTGAAAGGCTCTTCAATCTCACCCGCCATTTTCAACTGATAACCCCCCAATTCACACCCTTTTTCTGCATTTTTCAGTAACCGACAATAATTAAAACTCAACCCACAAATTATAGATACTAAATTTTTTAAAATTAAATAAATAAATTACAAGCACACACAATATCCAAAGAAGAAATCCACTGCCAAAAATGTGTGAGCAAACAATCGGAAAAAAAGATGAAAACCATCAACTTAAATGGACTATATAAAACAACAGAGAGAGAGAGAGAGAGAGAGAGAGAGAGAGAATTACATGGTTGAAGACATTGGGTGAGATAGACAAAAGGCAGATATCAAGAGAGTAAGCTGTATGCTTTGAAGATTGAGACCTTTTTTTCAAAGAGATTTTAAGAAGAAAGTGAAGGAGGAGTGGAGGACTGAGAGGGACTCATGGTGACCTGTGAGAGTGGCTCCTTCTGGGAAATGTATGAATGAAAATGACCAAAAATTATATATACAAAGAGAATAATTTTACCCAGCTTGGCGGCTTGCAATCCACCTTGCAGTTTCGCAGTGTTATACTTTCCTTAAACAAGATGTAAAACACAGTTAAAATGAGAAGTGACAATAAACCCTCTTTCTATTTAGGAAAATATTATATAAACTCCCATTTTCTACTCCTAATAGTTATGACTAGGAGGTGTAAATGAACGGCTCGGTTAAATCTCGGCTCGAACTCGGTCAAAATCGAGCTAGAGCTGAACTCAAACAGCTCGTTTACTTATCGAGCTCACATATCCTATTTTCGTGGCTCGACGAGCCGCTCGCAAACCTTATTATTATTATTATTATTATTATTATTATTATTATTATTATTATTATTATTATTATTATTAAAAATTAAAAATTTACTCCCTTCTAAGGCTTACCCTACTCCAGTACTCTCGCAGTCCCGCACCCCGCCCCCGTTCCCCCAAGCCCTAACTCTGGAGTCTGGAAGATTGTCGATGACGACGACACGAAGACGAGATACAGAGACATCGGAAGACTGCCGATCAACCCTTGTCTCCGGTCTCCACCTTTGCCGATGACGAACTGACGAAGTTGCTGCAGTGCTGCCCGATAGTCGACTAATCGAGACCGGACGAAGCTGGTGCCGACGAACGGACGAAGCTACACAGATTCCCATCGAGCTCAAAATCGAGCCGAGCTCGAGCTGTTCGAAAATTGTCAAGCTCAAGCTCTAGCCAACCCAGGCTCGAGCTCGTCTTGACTCGTTTACACCCCTAGTTATGACATGGACTCAGGTCCATCTTGCAAGGTGGATCCGAATCAAATTATGAACATTCAATATGTAAATTGTGAACATTTAGTATATAAAATTGTGAACATTTAATATGTAAATTGTGAACATTCAGTATGTAAATTGTGAACATTTAGTATGTAAATTGTGAACATTCAATATATAAATTGTGTATTTTGTTACCCGAGTCCACTAAATAATTTTTCTCTAACTTCTACTCCTTCTCACAAATTCTTGATGTAAATAATACTTTTCATGGGACTCACATGATGAAAATATCTAATCATTATTTGCCACAATTATAAAGCAAAAGTGATGATGAAGTAGAATTTGAGAGTACATATAGTAAAAACATTTTTATTTATTAGTTACTATGAAATATGAATTTGATCAATTTAGTAAATTTTAAAATAGGAATATACTTATATTGTCAATAGGGAAAGATTGTAATAAAAAAAAAAAAAAGAAAATTTGGTTCTTAAAGCATCACTCCTTTTTTTTTTAAACATTTATTAACGCAATGTATTGTTGGAAAAATGGCAGTTTAAGTGGCTATTTTGTGGTACAATTATTGGTGGGGTCCACTTTCGATTTGGGTCGGGTCAAAGTGGATTCGGGTTCTTCGTAGTAAGACGAAGAGATTGATATATTGTACGCTCAAAAAGGATAATGGGTGAATGAGATATTGATTCTCAAAGTAGACCCATTGAGTTGGAAAAATGAAGGGAAAAAGTGAGCTTTTGTCCCACATTGGTTTGGAAAGAGGATTTGACCCCCCTTTTATACAAGAGCTTTTTTAGAGCTTGTAGAATTATATAGCATAGAGGCTCTCCTGCGAGGGGGTGGGGGTGCAAATCAAATTCCTCATCAACTAGAGATGACTTCAGAAAGGCTTGGGCCACTTGGTTTCGGTCAGCCCGACCGAAATTGATGAGCAAGAGCTCTACACGAAATTTTGTTTTCAAGCTTCAAAACACTTCTGCTTCTACTCCCTTCTTAAGCCTAACTGTGTTCAAGGCTGTTGCTCTAGTTCGCCGGGTTCGTTCGTTTGGGTGCTCAAACGTCGAACCGTAGCGCGTTTTATCCTGGGAAACCTAGGCCACGGCGCTCCTAGCACTTGTGGGAGGTGGCAAATAAGGTTTTAAGGAAAGAGTGGTCTCTTGACTCATGCTAAAAACCCTATACCCATACACGAGCCATCTTTTCCTTCTTTCGGTTTTGGATTATGCTTCTAAGCAAAAATCCTCCTTTTCTGATTTAGTTTTGTTGGAATTATAATTTGTGAATTATAAATTCCTTTTGGTTGATATGTATATATCTTTTTCTGTAGATATTCATGCATATAACCTTGGTGGTTTGATATATATATATATATATATATATATATAGGGTGGCCTTCAAGTAGGAACCACTCAATAGGTCAGAACATAAGAACCCATCCCAACCTTTGGATCTAAGTCAATTAATTATTAATATAAAAAAATTAAAAAGGATATTAGGGTAATTTTAGCCCCCAATAATTACTAATTAAATAATAAATTAGATTTCATCCCTAGAATTTAGGAAAACAAGAAGGACTCCAATTCTAAGATCGCCAAATCCGCTCCAAGGCTCTCCTCGAACAACGCCTGCGAATTATGACAGTTGCGTGCATCCGGCAACCGCAAACTTCGTGAAACGAACAAGAAACTCCCCGGAGAGAATGACGGCAACCAAAAACCACGAAAGTAAGTCCACTGAACCAATGTCCGACCGTGTTTGTCATTCGATTTTAGAATTCAATTGAATTTGGAATGCTGGGTTCTGTCATGCAACCAAGAAGAATATTAAAACCCATGTTGTTTGCAATTGCATACGGAACATGATGACTTTGCCTTCACCTGTGTCGCACAATGTAATGGTGGGCAACGGCACACCCTCTCGCACTAAAGTGCACAGACAGAACTTGGCATCCCCAGTTGTGTGCAGGCAAATTTTAAAGTACATATCTGGTGCAAATTTTAATGTACATATCCCCAGTTGTGTGCATGCCAACTGGGTCTGCCATCTTGATTAACACAGGCAAATTTTGCGGTTATGGCACCCTCTCTGACGTTGAAGTGCACAGACACGCCAGGTTATCTGTCACAAATAAATGAGAGTGCACCTACGGAAACCACGTGTGCACAGACATCCGAACGTAAGTGCACATACTGAATCACAATAGTGGAGCATACCTGGGACCTTTTACAAACCCTAATATCCGTAGCCGTGATGAGCATGTGTGCACCTACGCGTTGATGAATGTGCCAAACAGGCTTGCGTAACACAGTGCGACTGCACATCGGTTATAATCTTAGTGCCATACTGGTTAACTACATATTGAACTAATAATTTCTCAACGCTCCACAGGTGAAGACGTCTCAATAGGGAGTTCAACAGGGTGTTTGATGAATATCTCTCCTAGGCGTTGTACTATATCTTCTTGAAACACACAATCTCAAACAACTTGATTTAACAAAGTCATATACTATACAGACACCATGATAGCCGTCATTGGCTACTTCGTCCAAAAACAAAAACCCACACGCCGAAAAGCGTGACTAATTGAATGAACCCATGTGCTGCAATTGTGCACCTGAGAACAATAGTGTGTGCCTGACAGAGTTACTGCACTACAGTTTTTTACACATTCTTTATTATTATAGTTATGTATGAATAATCGACTTACGGAGACAGATACATGTTGAGGTGAATTGTTGGAAAACAAACTTCTAGAGATTATGTGTTTCTAGAAGATATAGAAGATGGGAGTGTGCACCTGTGGGAATCTGAGTGTGCCGCAATGTATGATTTTCGCGTGGGGACATACAGAATGCATTGGCTGCCATTGTGCACTTGTGAACAATAGTGTGTGCATGACAGTGTTACTACACTAGTTTTAAAAAAATTATTTATTATTCTATTCGAGTATGAATATAGACTAACAACATGATTTAACATAGCCACATACGGGTTGGGGCCAATTCTAGAAAAACAAACTTCTGGAGATTGAGTTTTTCCAGAAGATATAGTACAGCGCATTGTGCACCTGGGTGATCTGAGCGTGCCAAAGACGGCTGACATCAGCGTGAGCACGTAATTATTGGTGTGTGTGCACGTTTAATTATATATATATATATAACATCTGAGTAAGCATATAGGCCAAAACCTTCCACCAAACGACCACAAGCACCATTTTTTTTTTTGGGTATACCCAAGGTTTTCACCGTCGGACACAGTGACTAATCCCCTCGCTAAATTGTAGGCACATCTTTTGGGTGGGACAACTGGCCTGGAGATTTTAGGCTGCTCCATTCCCAAAGTCAAGGATCGAACCTTTAACCTTTGGTTGAGGATGGATGAGTCCCTTCCACTCAACCACACCCTCCAGCACCATTGATGGATGACCACAAGCACTATTGATTAAGACAAAATGTGCCAAATCAAACAAAAGATTAGGTACGTAATATCATAATAAGAATACAAGTCTGTACCCAAATGAACAAAATTAAAATACTGATGAACTAGCTACAAATGATTAATCGTATTTGTCTTTGACCCCGGTGTCACGGTATTCTACCGCGATTCGAATGTTCTTGGAATGGTGTATGTTTAACTCAGCAAGCAAAATTTGACACATATAACTCGCCCTCAACAAATCAAGGCACCTACTATCACCCTTGTGCAACACACAATCTCCTGCATTCACTGATTGCCCCAAAAAGGTCTACATGTGCCACATCGCAAAGACTCTGCAATCCACTTTGTTATGTGCATCACGCCAACGCATCTGCATCCTTCTAGGGATAATCCTCCGGGTACAACAACCCCATACCATTCATCAACCACATCATCAAGGAACATAGACGTCAAATCTTTCTAACAAAGGGCGTACAACGATAGAAAATATTAGAAATCGAATGACCAACAAAATCAAACATAAAGGAAAAGTATATGTGTATAAACAGACGTAAATCAATTGTGTGTGTACTTAGGTAGAACTGTGTGTTCCATAATGTGTAACAATACTGTTTGAAAGAATAGACGAAAGCCAGGTTGATGTGATAAACTAGGGTGTACACATATGTTACTCTGTGTGTGCCATAACGTGCATAATTAATTTGTGTATGAAAAATGAAAACACAGTTCCAGATTCA